GCAGGAATGTTACAAAAATCTGTCATCTCACATACCTGCAAGACAATACAAAGTGCACTGTGGCCTTGGGACTGAGACTTAAAAACCAGGAATTATGGACTGATTACTCATGTAATGAGCCTTTACACCCCCATCTAGGGACTCCCAGGCACACAATCCTCTGGGCTTTGCCAGACTCAAGGGCAAAATCCCAATAAAAGGCAGCCTTACCATGACAGGTTGTTCTATATAAAATTTTGGAGCCTGGGAGGTGCACACTTCAGCAAGGGAAGGACCAGAGCCATGCAAAGGATCCTGAGACCAACAGAGAATAAGCTTGGACTCAGGCCACAGGAAGGCCTTGCTTCCCTTTCCACTGCCTCAGGAGTGCCCACTCAGTCCTTGTGTGGCTTCTACCTTGGAAAAAACAGCTTCCTCTAAACACTGTCCCATTCCTTGAAAAAGCAACTCATGACTCACAACATTCATGCTCCAGTCTGCTCTGGGTCTGTGTCCCCCTTGGCAGTGAAAAAAGAAATAAGTCTTGTTAATTCTTTCTGAGAGAGAAGTCTTAGTGCCATGAGACGGCTGAGATGTCATCTCAGCGCAGGAAACATAATTGTTCCTGTGACACCACCATGACACCAGTCTTTCTTCACAGGAATGATTATGGAGGCAAATACCTGAAAAGCCCTGGAATCTGTGAGGGAGAAAAACCTCCAACAGGTCTCCCAAAAAATTCAAACTCTGCAAACAGCATTGCAGAACATGCAGGAGTCTAAACAGGTGTTCTACAAAAAAATTTCCAATGAACTAATCCTCCTCAAGTCCTGAAAGTGGTTGGGGCTGGACAGTTCTTTCCTGGAAAGCCACTGATGTGTCCCAAACCAATGAGACACCTCCATGCTTAGGTTATCAAGGTCCCTCTTCTATCTCTTCTGATTAAAGGCAGTGCGTAGCATGGGCTCTCTATGACCCTGATAAATGGTAAAGGTGTCCATCTTTCAGTCCTGCTTCCTTCTTTCTTTCTTTACCTACTCACCTTCCACATTACAAGAGGACTCGTGTCCCACAAGTCACAGATGTTGGCTGGAGAGATGGAGGATGTGATTGCCACACTCCATCCGGTCCAACAGACATTTCTCAAGCATTCATGAAAGACTCACAGGGCCTGTGCTCTTTCCCCAGTCCTCCTACAGTCTATCCACTCAAACCAATTCAAAGGGGATAGAAGGGTCTTCCTACTTCTTTAGAGGTCATGTGCACTTTAGTCTCAGATGTGTGGGTTTCAGGGAGAGGAGGACCACGGGGTGGGAAGGCCTCAGAGTGAGGCCACAAGGGAAGAAGCTTGGGCTCAGGCATTGGGCAGGTTCTGCTTTGCTTTCCACTGACTCAGGAGTTCCCAATCAGTCCTTGCATGGCTTCTGTCTTGGAAAAAACAGCTTCCCCTAAACAGTGTCACTTTACAAGAAAAAACAGAGCAAGAACTGCAGTGTTCATGCTCAGGTCTGCTCTGGAACTGGATATTCCTTGAAACTGAAAGAACAGTTTCTTCTTGGACATTTCTAAGAGGAAGGGGCCCATGATATGAAAAGGTCATGGTCTCAGCTCAGAGCAGGAAGCATCATTATTCCAGTAACATCACAGTGACACCAGTCTTTCTTCACAGGAACAACAGTGGAGGCAAATACATCAAGGACCCTGGAAGCCATGCGACAGAAGGAACTCCAGCAGGTCTCCCAACAAATTCAGACTCTTCAGAGAGCTTTGCACAACATGCAGGAGTCTAATCAGCATGAATTTAAGATCCTCAGACGAGATGTGGAGAACCAACTAGGTGAGTAGGTCTGTTTCCAGGCAGGACTACATCTCTCTGAATACAAAGGCTGGTCTGAAGACCACCATCCTCCACAACTCCTGAAAGTTGCTGTAGATAAGCACTCCTTTCTTGGGGAGTAGCTGTTGTTTCCCACACCAGTGAGACACCTCCATGCTGAGGTGTCGTCTGCAAGTGGTCAAAGAGCTTCTTCTTTACCTTCTCTTTTTAGCGAGTACGGTTGTCAGGCCTTCAGGAAAGCTCAAAGGGCCTGTTCTCTTTCCCCTGACCTCCAGCAGTCAATCCATCCAAACCAATTAAAAGAAGGTGGAGGGATCTTCCCATATCTACAGTCCATGTGCCTTCAGAAAGACTCTGGGAGGAGTGCACTTCAGGGAGGGTAGGACAATGGCAGTAGAAGAGCCCCAGAGGGAGACCTGAAGGGAGGAAGATTGGGCTCAGGCTGTGGGCAAGCCCAGGTCCCCTTCTGCTGACTCAGGAGTGCTCAAACAGTCCTGGTGTGGCTTCTATCCTGCCAACATGATGGTCAGTTTGGACACTGTCCCTTCCCTGAAAAATAATCCAGGTCGTTAACTGCAGTGTTCAGGCTCTGCTCAGTTTGCTCTGGGGATGAGACCTCCTTGGCAGTGAAAGAAGAGGAGCTTCCTTTCCATTCTTTCTATCCCAAAAGGCCCCTTGCAATGAGAGTGACAAGGTTTCACCACAGAGCAGGCAAAATCATTATCCTAGTGACGCTGCACTGACACCTCCTACAACAGCATCTTCTTGCTCATCTCTAACTGGAACAGCCTTGTGTCATTAGAAAGACAAGTTCTCACCTCAGTGAAGGAAACATCATTGTCCCAGTGACACCAACCTGACACCAGTCTTTCTTCACAGGAAAGACAGTGGAGACAAATACCACAAGGATCCTGGAATCCATTCGGGAGAAGAACCTCCAGAAGGTCTCCCAACAATTTCAGTCTCTGCAGACAGCTTTGCACAACCTACAAGCATGCACACAGAATGATCTTAAGAACCTCAGAGCAGACATGGAGAAACAACTACGTGAGTGGGGCTATTCCCAAGCAGGCCTTCATCTTTCTCAAGGCTAAAGCTGGTCTTCAAACTGTCCTGCAAACTGTTCCTGCACATATCCTGGAAGTTAGTGGAGACAGACAGATATTTCTTAAGGAGCAGCTGTTGTTTCCCATGCCAGTGAAATACTTGTATGTTGAGGCAGTATGCAGGTTGTAAAGGTCCCTATTCTCTATATCCTCTTTTAAGAAACTCTGTACATTAGACTCTTTATGACTCCGATTTTTGTTGAAGAAGTCAACTTCTATGTCCTCCTACTTTGTTGGTCCCATTCTCTATTCATCTACCTCATCACCACATGAGTCAGACCTCCCACAGCTCACAGATGATGGCAGGAGAATTTGAGAGATTAAAATCCTCCAATTTGTCATGCCCAGGAAGGCTCACAGGACCTGTGATCCTTTCTAGGACAAATCGTTTTTAAACAATGATCAGGTGCCCCTTCAGCTTTTATTAGAGGACATATCTTGAGAAAAATCAGAAGCTTAAAATGATAACGGACAATGAGCAGAATTTAAGGCATGTGGTAGAACTGCTGCACTGGGGTAAATTTAGTTGCCACTAGGAGATACTCAGACAGTGGCTGGGATGCTGCTCTGGAAAGTGCATCCCTACATGCACATGGGTCCAGTGAAGGCCTCACACCTTGAACTCCTCTCTTCCCATTGGATGACAAACAAGAGATATCACCTTCCAAGAAATTAAGAGCAGAATTTAAGGCATGTGGTAGAACTGCTGCACTGGGGTAAATTTAGTTGCCACTAGGAGATACTCAGACAGTGGCTGGGATGCTGCTCTGGAAAGTGCATCCCTACATGCACATGGGTCCAGTGAAGGCCTCACACCTTGAACTCCTCTCTTCCCATTGGATGACAAACAAGAGATATCACCTTCCAAGAAATTAATCTCCCTTGTTCCCTTTTCCTTCTCCTCTGCCTCCAGCACGTCATCATCTTTCTTCTCTTCAAGAATTCCTACCTAGATTTTAGGCCTGGACACTTTGCTGCTAAAAGCCCAAGCACATCAGTGGCCTCAGGCCTTCCTGCCTATGGATGATGGTGTGAGGTCTTTCGATATGTTTTCCAACTTATAGGACAAGGATGTTACTACAGGAGAACATAGTCCTTTTCAGCAGCAACATAAACTGTGTCTTAGCAATCTGGAGACCAGCATACCTTGAAAAATCCACTTATTGCCTGCTTTTTTCTTTTTCCCGCAGAGCTTTACAAAATGCAGCGCTACAAAGGTAAGCATGAGGAATGTGATGGACATGATTACGCAGAGCCTGAATGCAGCTCTGCAAAACACATCCAAACCACTCAGAGAGCTGTTTGGAGAAGAACATGCTCAGAGGAAGGATTGTTTGATAAATTTTTTCTTTGTTGTGTGCTGCCAAAGACCCTGTGTGTGCTTGACAGGATCCATTTCAGTTGTGGAAAGCAGGGATAGCCAGCTTGCCTTGGGCACTTCAGCCCCCATCTCTCAATCCTAGTTTTGCCCTCTTTGATATATCATGAAATTTGCCTTTATATATCATGAAATATGTCTTGAGCTGATCTTGCTCCACTGGATGGGGCAACATCTTATTCTTTAAACCAGAGTTGACCTAGAGGACCTTAGTTCACGACATTGCACTATTCTAGAGTCCTGTCAGCTGTTCATCAGGTACACTGTAGATCTGGGTAAACCGAGGAGAGAAGTATTTACTTATCATTATCAGTGTGTAGATCACTCTTCCATTCTAATCCACATGGAAGAAATACTCTAGACTGATGCTATCTTTTTATTGAGGAGAAATTACTTGATGTTTGAGAAACACCTACAGACGTTGACAACTTTTAAGCATGACACCCACACCAAATTCCAGCTGATGCACACACATTTCCACATACTTTATACTTACATCCACCACAGGCGACACTTTCTTCCATCACTCCTAAGAGGCTTTCTTCCTGTCCATGAGTTTTTAGGCACAGTTGCAGAAAGCTTTCGATCTATATCTTAGCATTTATTGCTGACCTGTCAGTGTCTGCATTGATTTCCAAGTGGGTTTTAGGTGCCTACCAGGTTGATCTTCCTGTTTGGTTTCTGCCACAGAGAACTTTCTTTGGCCATTATGACTTCACCTCAGTAGTCTTGTAGAAGTCAACTGTAATTCTGTTGAAAGCCAAAGAGGAGCGATATTGTCAACTCTTGATCCTTTTCCTGAGATCGTCCCCACAGCAATTCAAAGATGAAGGGAGAGAGTGTTCAGTCCCACAGCCTTGGTGATGAATGTTGGTGGCACAGGAATATTGGAGAAGTGTTTTGCACTTCACGCATGTAAGCCGGCCACTTTCTCAGTCAGCAGCCCAAGGATCAGAATGGAGGAATATAGGAGGTATGGACTCTTTCTACCTGAGTGTAGAGGTGAAAGATGAAAAAATGAGAGGCGGATGAGCACACAGAAGAGAAAGCCTCAGAAAATGAAGTGTTGTGTTTTCTGTTCCTTATGACATGACTTGATCGTTGCAGTGGATGTCACCTTGGACGCTGACACAGCCCACCCCAGACTGGAAATCTCTGATGATGGGAAGAGTGTGAAAGATACTGCCATCATCAGAAATGTGCCCAGCAATGCGAAGAGATTTGATTCCCACACTTTTGTGTTGGCAAAGGAAGGATACACATCTGGGAGACACTACTGGGAAGTAGATGTTGGCAAGAGAAGAAACTGGGCCTTAGGTATTGCCCAGGAATCTGTGACTCGCAAAGGGACATTGACTCCATCCCCTAAGAATGGCTTCTGGACAATAGGGGTAGCAACTGGGCGAGACTATTTTGCCTACACAGATCCTTGGACCCGTCTGAGTGTGAGTGGGAAGCTGCAGAAGACTGGAATCTTGCTGGACATCTCAGCCAAGAAGCTCTCATTTTATAATGTCCATAAGATGGCAGCCCTGTACACTTTTATGATTGCTGATGGTAGCAGCCAGGAAGAGAAGATTTTTCCCTTCTTCTCAACAGGCCCTGCTGCTTCTACAGAGCTTGACACTGAGCCTCTGAAAATAGTGCAGGGGTTTGATGAAGGGTTCATTCTAGATTGTGGATGTCTATAGTGCACAGCCAATGATCAGATTTTGTTTTTATCAGGATGCTGCCTAATTTGCATCTCCTGAACAAAGCTAAGCAAGGAGAGGAAAGGTCCACCATAGTAGCCAGCTCTGAAATTTCAGAAACTATGCACCAGAATGAAAAAGATTCTGAGGGAAATTTAGGTATTAGAGAAAAACAAGATTTATTTGCTGGTAGTATGGAATAACCATTTCCTCTAGAAGGTGAGTTTTCCTGACAACATGCTATCCTTTTCTTTACATTCTGTGATTTGGCATTTTGTTGAGTAGGGAGAGCAGCTGAGCAGCTTTGTGGACACCTGCCCACCTGCCAAGGTCAGTCTGCCACACATGTCTAGATGGGTTTTGAATATTTCCAAGGACTATTCATCAGAATGAATATATTCTCAGGGAAATTTTAGGTGCTCACGAGAAAACAAATGTTCTTTCATGGTAGTATGGAATAAATCACTTCCTTTTAAGGTTAGATTTCCTGAAAAATTACAATCCTTTTCCTGATAATTTGTGGTATGGCATTTTGTTGAGGATGGAGAGTGACAGAGCAGTTTGGAGGGGGAGTGATAGAGCAGTTGGGGGGGGGCGGGGCAATTAATCAATAATCACGGAATCACAGAATCACAGAATATTAGGTGTTGGAAGGGACCTTTAAAGACCATCTAGTCCAACCTCCCTTCCAGATTAGGTCACACATGAATGTATTCAGGCGAGTTTTGAATGTCTCCAGAGAA